AAAATCATATTTGGATTTGATTTAATTTGATTTGAAATTTCTGTATTTGAATTCGATTTGAATTCAAATATTTGATCAAATCAAACAAATCAAATCAATTGCAAATCCTAATACTATTAAATTATATTATTGGTTTTTTATTTTTTTTTTAGTGAACATAAACTATAGTTTGAAAACACTTACAGCTATTTTACTGTTCTTATGATAACAGTGAGATTTCAAACAGGTTATATGATGATCGTCATGTGCTTCGGACACATAATGCAACGCATTAGCCTAGTAGTTATTAATATTTGAAATTGTAAAAATCAACTTAATATAAGGCATCATCAATCCAAATTAGGGTACGTCTAATCATAACATGTTACTTATAACAGTTCACAAATAATATTCACATTTTGATTAATATTAACTTATGTTACAATTAGGCATGCCCTAATTTTTTATCATTTCACATAACAATTTCTCGAAAAAATAACAATCTCACTCTGCTACGTTTTGATTGACGACCCTCATCTTAAAACTATTATTTATTAACAGATTAATATTGATTATTTTTTTTAATAAATTATATTTACTAAATAATAGAGCCGACTCAACATACGGCAAAGTCTCACTCGAAGTAAATAGTAAATAGCCTTGTCAATAATATTCATTTTACAGAACATAGTTTGTGATACATGTACGTACGTGCGTGCGTATGTACGTACGTACAGTACGTTGTTTCTCTTCATGTGATATTTGTCACATCAGGTAATATGACGAATGCCTGTTGAAATGCCAATCTTGAACTATCATAAAGTCAAATGCGTTAGGAACTAAAATTAGAATCACAGAAAATTTAGATGCTATTTTTAGTAACTACATTTACAATGCTAGTGTCATCATATACGAGATATGTATACATGTGCAATCTAAAGCAAGATTCCTGGATCATGTACGTACATAGATACAGTAAATTAGACAATAGAGTAATTTTCGACGTTATTTAAATAACGCTAAAGCTTAAAAGCTTGAATGAGTATGTAGTTTTTAAAATAGCTATCAGAGTTATGCAACTGCACGTTCAGACACCTGTATTTTTAACCAGGCACGCCTGTTAGGCATATCTGAACGTGCAGATTTTAATGGAATGATCCAAGGTGGTGTATTATATGTTCTTTAAAATAAGCTAGTCATTTATATAATTGGCATATACGTAAAATTTTACCGAATAAATCGATATTATAACATTAACATTACGTAGCTCTATTCAATTTGCCGTTAGAGATGTGCTAATTTAGAAATAATTTATAAGAGTACTATGCATGCACATTGTTTATAAGTTATTTCTACATTAGATATCTAATGAATGGAACTATTATGTAAGGTCGTTCCGGATATAAAATGCATGCATTCTGACATTTTGTTGCGATTTGAATAATATAAGTATCTACTTTTACATTAATCTAAAAAAAACTTATATATATATATTGCATTAACGAAAAAATGGTGTAGTTATTCAAATTGTATCGAAATTGTTATAAGGCACATTTTATATCCGGAACAACCTTAATTTTAGAATATGGGTTTATTTAGTAAAAATTTTCATATATAAATAGTAAAAAGTGGTAATAGCAATAAAAGGTATAAACACTCTTAGTTTTTGTAAGACTTGGATCGATCACGTCAAACTTTGAGCGGAACTCTCAATAAAATCAAATCTTGGGTCAGTTGTGAGTCACTCGACTTGTTGAGTCATGGCGTCCTTAGTTAGAGTTATTAGCCATGTCCAAAAAATTTCGTGACCCGTGTAACCCGAACCTCTGGAATTCGATCGGATGATTCGGATTTAGACCTTGGATCGAACTTGCGAAGCACTAATACAAGCCTATTGCAAGCTAACTAATATTATGCAAAATTACGTTCCGAGCAACTTTACTTAGTTTATCGGTTATCGGGTTTATTAGTAAAATTCGGTAATTTTCGGGTATCATCGGGTTACACAAATCTCAAAATTGTTTCTGGTAGTGGTGTGTTCAATAAACTAATCAAGACATAGCTAGGGTCAATATTATCATTAAGTTCGGATTTTTTAAAGGGTTATTTCACATATGAATTTACATATGAATTGTACTAATTTTTCTACACAACCAACAGACAGAAGTGTATAATTTTTTTTTTTTAACTGTAGTTCTAGACTAGCTCTATATTGAAATAGAGTCAACTAGTTTACAACTATCCAACTAATCGATTTGGAAATTTTGAAATAACTGGTTGATTAAATCATCAACTAGTTAAATCCCGAGATATTCCATCTATTCGGGCTGGTTCGTGTTGATTACTTTAGTTTGATTGGCCAATCAACAAATTTAGTCACATTATAGGAAAATTTGATTAGTTGCAACTATAGTTGGAAACTAATCGATTGGAAAATTTTTTACCAACTCGGAAAACTATGCCATATTAATCGCAAAAGTAAAGCGATTTGCTCTAGACATCTAAAAACATGCATATATAATAAGTGATAAATAATCCCGATCACTATCCTGGTCACTAAATTCAAAAAATTCTTAATAATTAATTTTTATATAGTACCACATATAGTTTTGTCAAACATAGTTGACCGATACCCCCAATGTCGCACGCACGTGTATTTATCATTGTCGTTTCACGCTCTATTATTGCTTATATAGATATCAAGAATATAATTTATGCAACATGTACATCAATATATTCACAAAGCTTTAAACGACCTCCAGAATGCCCTACCATAATACACTGTTAACCTAACTCTAATTCTACTATATTATCCATAAAAACTTTCTATAGTTTCTACAAAATTATTATATCGTATTAATCCACAAATAAAGTTAATTTACATAACTTTTTGATTTTCTCCTGTGCCGTCAGCGTAAACGGCGAGTTACATCCTAGTATATATATGGAAACTCCTGGATTTTCCATGAGAACTGATAATCCAATTTCAGCGAGACACATCTACGGAAACCTTTAGTAAAAAGCGAAAGGCTTTTACGTAACCGTACTTGCGGCGTACCAAAAAATCTTCATGCTCGTTTAAGTTAGGGTTGGCATTTGCATTGGGCTAAGTATTAACAAAGCATATAGTAAAATAGCGCGAGGAAAACTTTTGTTAGGGCACTAAAGGTGTTTTCTTATGCCGATGTTTGACAAAACGACCGTTTGTTTCAAATTTTCCTGTTACACCTGATATTGAAATATGATTGGTTTGCGCCACGCAAATATCACGTGTCCGTGAAATTTTGAATAACTACCCATCAAAAAAATCACGGACACGTGATATTTTCGTGGTGCAAACCAATGAGAATACAAGATCAGGTGTAACGTTGCACGATCAGGAAAAATTAAAACAAACGCTCGTTTTACTAAAAATCGCACATAACTCGAAAATTTACATAGGAAACCACCTTTAGTGTACTAATAAAAAAAATTCCTTGAGCGATTTTACTAATATACTCCTACTATTACCTAATCATAATATAATGCTCACCCTAATCTTACCGAATTAGGAATTTTTATTACATGTGACCAAAACTTTTAACGGTTTTGACTGATTCGAAACTTATGCCCTTGAAATTGGCCGAAATTTATTTTAAGTTGTCAGTGTTCATTAGAGATTAGAGTTCTGCATATGCGGATGCCAGGCACATTAGGCACTAGTGCCTAAGCACAAAAGTGCCAGTCTAAAACATGGCTAGGCACCCAGTGGCACCGACAGATTTTCACGGTTCTACCATAAAATCCTGACATCTAAAACCATAATCCCGACATCACGCGGGGTAACAATCATTGTCAGCATTGTCAGCATTGTCAGGCTTTAAATTTTAGGATTATGGATTTTGAGATTTTGGATGTCGGAATTTATTTTTTTAAATTCATAAAACAGTACATTAGGGTCTGGTTTATAATTAAACCGATATTTCTTTTATACTAAAATTTTGTAAGGAATTTTTTTACTAACGCGCAGAAGATGGAAATTTTGAGTTACGGCGGTTTTCTGTCGATCAGTGAAAATCTGTCGGTGCCACTGGGGACTCCATAATCATGTAAAATTAAATAATAATTAGCCAATGATTAATCATGTATTAGTGTGTTCGTTCGTTTTGACAAAGTCGAAAAGCATTTGAACGGTTTTGATACTAGAAGCCCTTTTTCTAACCCTTACATAGATTCTAACCCTAACACTGTAACATGAACTTTAAAATAATTTTGTCGACTATCACGTGAGCGTGGCGCACCTGGGTAAGATTCAATAAATTGTTTGGTTTGATCGACACGGATCAGTCCGACGAAAAAAAAACTAATAAATTCAATTTAATTTTACATTATTTATATAGTTTAGAGTGTTTTTTAAAAAAACGAAAACCGACCATAGTAAAGTAAAAAAAAAAAAAAATACGTATAGAAGGTTTCATTAGAGCTGTAGGACTCCATAATCAAAAATAAGATCTAATTCTTATTTGTTTAAAAAATTAGCTTAGTAATAAGTTGATTTTACTATACTAACTTTTTTAAACGGACGAGAATTAAATCTTATTTTTCTATACAGCTCATTATAATTAATTTTCGTTTTTTTAAAAAGTATTCTAAACTGTATAAATAATGTAAAATTAAATTGAATTTATTAGCCAATCATACAAACTTCTGCCTATGAGGTTGTAGGACTCAAGTTAGCATGGTAATAGCCTAATTCTATCTATCTATAAGATGCTAACTTCTCTAAAACCAGAAATGATTTTGATTATTTTTAACGGTTGAGTCCTACAACCCTAATAAAATTTTTTGTATAGCTTATTTAAACAGCCAAGTATAAAAAAGAATCTAATCAACCGAAAATCTCGTGTAACATGTAAGTGGGTGGTCTGATAACGGGTCAAATCTCGTGTAACGTAAACGAGGGTGGCCTGATTGAAAGCTATAATAACGAAATACTTTTCGCCTGCAGTTTGAAAAGTATTTTTTAATTCTAACGTAAAAGTATGTCCGGTCAAATTATTGTTGTTGGTGGTGGACTTTCAGGCCTTTCTGCTGCTCACACGGTTTTGGAGCGTGGTGGAAACGTTTTAGTTCTTGATAAGAACTCTTTCTTTGGCGGCAACTCAACGAAAGCTACGTCTGGTATTAATGGTGCTTTGACCAAAACTCAGATAGGTGGGTAAAACAAGAGAAAAAAAGACTACAATCAATACTATCACCTAGTGTTGACTTTCGAGACAAGGCGTTTGTAAGTAATTGTCATCTAACGTTAAGCATTAACGCGAGCGCTCTTGTTCTATAGCCCTCGGCATTCAAGATTCCGCTGAAATGTTTGCTCAAGATACAACACGATCTGCTCGTGATCTTGCTCGCCCTGATCTTATAAAAGTTCTTACCGGAAATTCTGCTTCTGCTGTCGAATGGCTTCAAGAAAAATTTAAGTTAGACCTTTCTCTTGTATCTCGATTGGGTGGTCATTCTCAACCACGTACTCATCGTGGAAAAGAAATGTTTCCAGGTATGACTATAACCTATGCTTTAATGGAAGGCATCGAAGAAATTGCTAAAAAACAACCTGGTCGAGTCCGACTCATTAAGAAGGCACGTGCTACAAAGTTAATTAAGGATGGCGAGACTATCGTGGGCGTGGAATATGTCAAAGATGGCCAAACTTTCCAGGAATATGGCCCTGTGATTTTGTCTACTGGTGGTTATGCTGCTGATTTCACGGAGGACTCTTTGCTTAAAAAGTATCGTCCAGACATATACGATTTGCCCACTACCAACGGTGATCACTCTACAGGTGATGGTCACAAAATGATTATGGCCATTGGGGGAAAGGCTACTAATATGGAAAAGGTTCAAGTCCATCCCACAGGGTTGGTTGACCCAAAAGAACCTGATGCAAAAATCAAATTTTTGGCTGCTGAAGCGCTTCGAGGTGTTGGTGGATTATTGTTAAATGGTGAAGGAAAACGATTCTGTGATGAATTAGGCCATCGTGATTACGTTACTGGCGAAATATGGAAAACCAAGGGACCTGTTCGCCTTGTTCTTAATAGCAAAGCTTCAAAAGAAATTGAATGGCATTGTAAACATTATGTTGGTCGCGGTTTGATGAGAAAATTTTCTGGTGAAGCATTGGCAAAGGAAATCGGTATTCCTGTGTATCAACTAGAAGCAACATTTAATGAATATAATGATATTGCGTCTAAGAAAAAAGATCCTTTTGGCAAGAAATTTTTCCATAACACTCCAATCTCGATAAATGATCAATTCTACGTAGCCTTGATGTCTCCCGTATTACATTATACTATGGTATGATTGATATGATTTCTTGTATATTCCTAAATACCTAGTCATAAATTATATGATTCAGCATCGTTCTTTGTAGGGTGGAGTCGATATAAATGCAGATTCTGAAGTCAGAAATGAGCAAGGAAAAATCATTCCGGGACTATATGCCTCTGGAGAATTAGCTGGTGGTGTTCATGGTGCTAATAGGTATTAATGGTTGATTATTTAACCTTAATATTTTAAATATATAACTTTTACTAATCGCAATAAATAGGTTGGGAGGATCTTCTCTTTTGGGCTGTGTAGTTTATGGACGTGTTGCCGGTGATTCCGCATCCCGTTATCTACTCCAGAATTTGTCATGTACAACTGCTAATCGTCGCCTAGGACAGATTGCTGGACAATTGGCACCATATCAAGCAACTGTTTCTGTTGACCCTGCGAGTCAAAAAGTGAACTTGGAAATTTCTTGGAGTCAACAAAAAGGTGGTATAAGTCAATACATTCCAACTCAAACTTCACCAAGCCAGGAACCGACTCCAGAAAATAAATCAGAGGCACCACGTGAAAAGAAGGAATATACCGCTGAAGAAGTCGCTAAGCATAATAAAGAAAATGGTTAATATATTATTATTATTCTTAGGATAATTTTAATTTTTTGTTGGATAATTAATAAGCACATTATTTTATATATAAATCTTTTGTCGCAAAATCCACAACGTGAGTGTTTTAATTCCTTTTTTTGCGATATTCCTTTTGATTGGATTTGCTCTTCTAATAATCTTCGCCTTTTACTGTTTGGTCAATAGTTAGACTGTTGGGTAATAGTTAATGGTGAAGTTTTAGATGTCACCAATTTTCTCCCAGGTAAATATTGTTAGGATTTGGCGTCTCGTTTGTCCTTAAGTAACTATATATTCACGCATTCTGTCATATTTAATTTAGATCACCCTGGTGGTAAAAAAGCCATTCTAATTTATGCTGGAAAGGATGCTACCGAAGAGGTGAAAAAATAATTTTCTTGATTTATTCGTTTTTAAAGAAAACTGTAATTAATAATTTAATTAATTATTTTTGTAGTTCAATATGTTGCATGAAAAAAATGTAGTGCAGAAGTATTCACCGGAAGTAAGTACAAAATTTTAGCTTACAACACCTATAATTTCTATTTACATTTTTTTTCATTTTGCTTTAAAAGTCCATAATCGGAACCTTGAAGAATTAGTGGAATTTAACTGCAAGAACCATGTGTTTTTCATTTAAGAACAGCTTAGCCTAATACGATTTTCTTTTCCTAAACTTTACATATTATGTGTAACAAACGAGTATGTTGAATTATTAACAATTTATATTGATATTTATTATTATTCAGTAATAAAAGACTTTATTGAGTATGTAAAATTATGTTGAATTATTTTTATGCGGAATTCAATGCACGAAACCAAATTTAACAATATATGAATAAATTTTTGATACAATCGATTCCATCCAAATATCCAAATACATCACACGACCATTGGGGTCAAGAAAAATGACCAATATTCTGTGCTTATAAATATAATTGTTCGAAGCGTAGCGGAGGACATTAAACGATCAGTAAAGTGATACAGAACTTACTTTTTTGATACACAAAACATTGTGCTTTTGATAATTCAAAAATATAATTTAGTGAAATTTTTTTTATTAAAAATTGATATTAAATATTTAGAATTTTGACAAGTATTGTATTATAATTTTTTTTTTTTTATTATAAGTATTATATTGTTATAAAATTTTTTTTATTATAAGTATTATATTGTTATAATTTTTTTTATTACAAGTACAGATGATCCTTATTTATATCAACCTATTTGAACTAATTTTAATTATGTTGTTAGTGATATTAATAAAAAAATCATATTAAAGTTAATATATATAAGAGAATTTTGATATATAAAAATTTATAAAAATTTGTTTTGTGGCTTAGGTTGATATTAATGGGTTGGCATTAACGAGAGTTTTCTGTATTATATTATTATATTAATATCTAATATTTATATTTATTTTAAAAAATTATTTATTTATTTATTTTAACTAGCTTTTTTGAAACTAAGATATCTTATTTTATGATTTATTATCAAAAAACTTTTTTTTAATATTAAGATAAGTACATGCAATCCAGAAGTTTATTGATAGTATTTGGTTTATAGTTATTGTATATAACAATTGCAAAAGTAATTATAAAAAAAATACAACTAGTCATTTGTATAACTTTGATTATTGTCTAATTTAAATAGTCTGTTCAAAATTTTTATACTAGTTGTTATATTTAGAACCTACCTGTGAGTTTTTTATTTAAACATTCTAGTTTTTATATCTACTCTTATTCTATCAACTGCATCTTAGTATAAATATATTATAATTACTAAGTTATATTTAACTTTGTACTAAATATACTAAAAGAGGTGTGGTGACCTAGTGAAGTAGTCAGGTTGTTAACCCTCCAAATGGTAGATTGGATGTTCAAATCCTATTGATGATAAAAATTTGAATAATCATCTATATAATATTTATATTATAACAATTGTTACTAATGATTGAGTTAGGATATCTGTAATGGCAGTTACACCAGCATAACTAGCAGATCATAGAGCATTTGTGTAAGCATGACATTATACAGAGAAATGCAAATCGACAAATCAGATGATGTAAACATTAGATAAGTTCTTGTGATTATGTAAATCTATTGAAATTAGGTAACAAGAAGTTTATTTGGAAAAACCCAAGTAAAGAGGTAGCTGAATTTTTAATGGTCTTATTGTAAAGACTAGTTTAGGTAAACAAATACCAAGGTTATAGTAACCGAACAAACAAGAACCTTCGGATTGGAAGTCTTAGGGTATTACTAACCAGGCTGCCAGAACAAACTAAAGAAAAAGGATATTGGATTGACCTAATATACTGATAGACTGGTCATAGTCCTATATAGACTATCTGAATTGGAAGTTTGGTAAAAAGGCAAGTGAAAAGACAGAAGTATACTAAAGTATCAGAGTTATACTGTGAAGTAGATACTAGAGTCTAAGTGAACTCTACAAGAGCATAGCAGTTTAATAATCAGCCCTGACTGTAAGTGTTGGTTCTGTCATAACAATATTTAGGTCAACTATAAAAATGAATACAGAAGGCTCTAAGGGGTTTATCTTAAGAATAAATTAGTTCTAAGATTGAAATAATGATCTAAGCATCTGGGTATGATCCAGTAAGTTAATATAGGTTACAGATTCAGAAAGTTTAAAGTAGAACACTCAAGTAGGGGTGTTAGGTATGACAATTGGTAGAGAATCTTTGGACAAATTCCTTAAATAAATAATATAAAAAGTTATACATATAGTCAATTGTATTTTTTTCTGTAGTAATTCATTGAACCACAATACTAATAAGTGATTAATAAAAGTCAAAAGACCAAAGAGGTTATCTTAATATCAAAAAAAAA